AGGAGGAGGAGGAGAAGCAGCAGTTATTGGTCCAATATATTGTGATTTACCAACAATCAATACTGAACAACAAGAAGAACAAATTATAGATGCTAAACTTAACACTGCATATGGACAAGCTAATATATAAAATTAAAGAATTAACAATCTACAAAATATCCCAGTATTACTTTTACTAAGATTGACATGTAATCATACATGCACATCATGTGCTTAATTGTTATGATAGCATTAGTAACCACACACCATAGTAGTTGAGTAGGTGTAACTGTTGTTAGCACAGAGAAGAGAGAACAAATTTGAGTTGCTTGTTGTTTATAATCATAGAAGTATTCAGTTCTTTATTTCACTCTAATGGCTACTGCTGGTATTTACTGGTGTCTTGTATTGACTGAATGTTTGAGTCTTGCGGTTTCTAGTAAGTTAATAATCTAACTAAGAGTATTCCAAGCAATATTTATAACTATATCTATTATTAGCTATTACATCATATGAACAGTCACCTCCTACTGCTTGTCCTGGAGATAAATTAGTGTTTGCTTGTGTGACTGTTACTGAGGGATCTGTCATATGGAGATTAAATGGGAACAATTCACAAGCTGCCTTACTAGCAAATGACTCACCTCCTTCAACACTTGGCAGTTTTTCACTTAAAGTAACACAGTATAACATTGCAACATTAGAAATAGTTAGCACAGCAACTAGTACTTCTGCTCCAGTGTCATTAAATGGAACAAGCATTGACTGTTCTGGAACTGGAGGAGCATCATATCAAAGAAGGTTCATTAGTTATGGAGGTAATGTATTTACTGTTATTTTAATTTCTAAAATTTTTATAAATTTTTATGTGTTTTTAATAGATGTACCAGAATCAATTAATAATACAACTATAGATCCAATAAACAGTAATGCATTAATCATAAATTGGAGTGCTTCAGGATCATGTATAGACAACTATACTGTTACTATAATTAGCAACAGTACATTTAATGAATCCAGGACTACTAACAACACTAATATAACTATTGATACTCTTATTATTGGTACTAACTATTCATTTATTATTATTCCTATTGATACTATTGGAAGAGAAGGACCTCCTTCATCATTAATATCGTATATATGGAATGGTAAGTACTACAAACACACACACACGTTCATTGTATTTCTTATAGTACCAGCTCAAGTTGTTAATATTAGTTGGGATCAGATATCAACTAATAGTATTACAATATGGTGGAATAACATTGAAGTAAGTTAAAGTTTTATTTATGATAATAATAAATTCTATTAGGATACTACAACATTACGTCCTCCTATTGAGTATTACATTATTAATGTATACATTACAACAATTTGTATTAATAGTTGTTCTGTGTACAGTTATAATGTAACAGATACTAATACTACTATTACTGGACTATCTCCTATTAATGAATACTACACTGTTACTATCATACCTGTTAATGTCATTGGATATGGACCATCAGTCACTGTTAATGGTATATAGCATCAGTACCTAATATAATGTATAAATACATATTATTACTATAGTCAGTATAACCACTACTACATCAAGTATCACTAACATTATGATGAGTACTACTGAGTATATCACAATGCAAGATAAAAGCTCAGCTATGACAGCATTACCAACAATCACAGAAACACAATTAATTACAACAACTGAAACAATCAGTAGTTGTCCTGACAGTAAGTTATAAGAATCAGGGCATACAGTGAACACAATGTTCATTAGGTTCTTCTTCGTGCATTACCACAACAATGTCACAATCAACAGATGTAGGATTCATTAGTGGTTAGTTAATACATTAAGTGTATCTAATCTATTACACACACACACACACAGTTGCTATTGCTGTACCTATCACTGGTCTATTAACTGGACTCATTACTGCAATAATTACTAGTATCATTGTATGTTTAATAATGAAAAAGAGAGGGACTACAATACAAAATAAAACTCCAGTAGGAGGAGGAGGAGAAGCAGCAGTTATTGGTCCAATATATTGTGATTTACCAACAATCAATACTGAACAACAAGAAGAACAAATTATTGATGCTAAACTTAACACTGCATATGGACAAGCTAATATATAAAATTAAGGAATTAACAATCTACAAAATATCCCAGTATTACTTTTACTAAGATTGACATGTAATCATACATGCACATCATGTGCTTAATTGTTATGATAGCACTAGTAACCACACACCATAGTAGTTGAGTAGGTGTAACTGTTGTTAGCACAGAGAAGAGAGAACAAATTTGAGTTGCTTGTTGTTTATAATCATAGAAGTATTCAGTTCTTTATTTTACTCTAATGGCTACTGCTGGTATTTACTGGTGTCTTGTATTGACTGAATGTTTGGGTCTTGTGGTATCTAGTAAGTTAATAATCTAACTAACAGTATTCTAAGCAATATTTATAACTATATCTATTATTAGCTATTACATCATATGAACAGTCACCTCCTACTGCTTGTCCTGGTGATAAATTAGTGTTTACTTGTGTGACTGTTACTGAGGGATCTGTCATATGGAGATTAAATGGGAACAATTCACAGGCTGCCTTACTAGCAAATGACTCACCTCCTTCAACACTTGGCAGTTTTTCACTTAAAGTAACACAGTATAACATTGCAACATTAGAAATAGTTAGCACAGCAACTAGTACTTCTGCTCCAGTGTCATTAAATGGAACAAGCATAGACTGTTCTGGAAATGGAGGAGCATCATATCAAAGAAGGTTCATTAGTTATGGAGGTAATGTATTTGCTGTTATTTTAATTTCTAAAATTTTTTAAAATTTTTATGTATTTTTACTAGATGTACCAGAATCAATTGATAATGCAACTATTGATCCAATAAACAGTAATGCATTAATCATAAATTGGAGTGCTTCAGAATCATGTATACACAACTATACTGTTACTATAATTAGTAACAGTACATTTAATGAATCCAGGACTACTAACAACACTAATATAACTATTGATACTCTTATTGTTGGTACTAATTATTCATTTATTATTATTCCTATTGATACTATTGGAAGAGAAGGACCTCCTTCATCATTAATACAGTATATATGGAATGGTAAGTACTATACACATGCACACACACACTCATTGTATTTCTTATAGTACCAGCTCAAGTTGTTAATATTAGTTGGTATCAGATATCAACTGATAGTATTACAATATGGTGGAATAACAATGAAGTAAGTTAAAATTATCATTATTTATTATAAAAATGAATGTTATTAGGATACTACAACAATACGTCCTCCTATTGAGCATTACATTATTAATGTATACATTACAACAATTTGCATTAATAGTTGTTCTGTGTACAGTTATAATGTAACAGATACTAATACTACTATTACTGGACTATCTCCTATTAATGAATACTACACTGTTACTATCATACCTGTTAATGTTATTGGATATGGACCATCAGTCACTGTTAATGGTATATAGCATCAGTACCTAATATAATGTATAAATACATATTATTACTATAGTCAGTATAACCACTACTACATCAAGTATCACTAACATTATGATGAGTACTACTGAGCATATCACAATGCAAGATAAAAGCTCAGCTATGACAGCATTACCAACAATCACAGAAACACAATTAATTACAACAACTGAAACAATCAGTAGTTGTGCTGACAGTAAGTTATAATGATCAGGACATACAGTGAACATAAT